AGAACTGAACTAGAACTGAATTAGGAACTGAACTAGAACTGATCTAGAACTGATCTAGAACTGAACTAGAACTGAACTAGTACTGAACTAGAACTGAATTAAAACTGAACTAAAAATTATATTCAAAGTATAATTACGAATATTTTATTAACCGCAAAGTGTAATCTTAATAAAATTTATAGAATTGGAATGTTATTTAACAATGAACTGATGAATTTTTTTCTTGCCAATTAAAATCCATGAGATTCAATTTATAGTATTTATGCAGAAAATATTTTCTGTGTAATAATTAATAATAAACATTCCTTTTTTTGAATAGCGCAACAAATTGTAAAAGTTTTTATTTACAGAATTTATAAAAACACAGCACTTGCAGTGAACGATGACGTATACGTTTTTTATTTGTATAAATTAAATATTACTCATCCACCATGCTGGTCAATAAATAAATGCTATATCAAAATATAAATACATAATCAAAGCGCAACAAAACTCTCGAACCGACACTTTAACACCCACTCACAACAGAAGGTTAAATAAAAAGTTTAAAAGTGTGAATTCTGGAAAACGACAAACTTTTGTATAAAGTTTTTTCTTCATTCTCTCTTCCTCTCTCTCTCTCTTGCTGCAACACTCTTGGTAATATTTATATACACTTTTTGTGTCCGTTTATTCAAGTGTATTTGAAAGCCTCTGCTTCTCATTAAGGACTTATCAAAATAACTGCATTTAATGGATATTACAACTTAATCTTTGGGATAAATTAAAAAAATAAAATAAAACAAAAACTGCTGGAAAAAAGTCCAGGCAATTCATAAACAAAAACCCAAAAGAAAATAAAGGAAATGAGTTGAAATTTATAAACAAATGAGTAGATAAATACCAAAAAAAACTGTAAGAAAAGGCGAAGAGATGAAGCAAATCCAAAAAAGTTTATTACAAAGTACTTAAGGATAAATTTATACATTGTTTGTGAAAAGGATGCTTTTGATGGATCCGTGATAAACTTTTAACGCGTCCATTTTTCTGTTCAGTTTTTGCTGTATGTTTTTATTATTTTTCTTTTATTCATACTAAATTTTTGTTGTAGTTGTTGTTATTATTGCTGTCGCTCTTTTTATTTAGTTTTCTTTGCCACTTAACATTTAAAACTCTTCTTATAGCCAGCAGAACACTTTAACTTTGTTTGTTGTTGTTATTGCTGTTGTCTAAATAAAGCTTTCATAGCCTTCACTCATTTTCCCTGGTGTTGACAAGACATTAAGTATTTGTTGCTAATGATTATGCTGCGGATACTCACACACAACAAATAGTACTGCTGTGCTGCTATTGCCACTGACGTTCCTTATTTAGTTCCACACTTTTTTAATTCTCCTAGCAAAACGTACAGTGGAACTCATCACAATTCATCAACTGAACTAGAACAGAACTATAACAGAACTAGAACAGAACTAGAAGAGAACTAGAACAGAACTAGAAGAGAACTAGAAGAGAACTAGAACAGAACTAGAACAGAACTAGAACAAAACTAGAACAAAACTAGAACAGAACTAGAACAGAACTAGAACAGAACTAGAACAGAACTAGAACAGAACTAGAACAGAACTAGAACAGAACTAGAACAGAACTAGAACAGAACTAGAACAGAACTAGAACAGAACTAGAACAGAACTAGAACAGAACTAGAACAGAACTAGAACAGAACTAGAACAGAACTAGAACAGAACTAGAACAGAACTAGAACAGAACTAGAACAGAACTAGAACAGAACTAGAACAGAACTAGAACAGAACTAGAACAGAACTAGAACAGAACTAGAACAGAACTAGAACAGAACTAGAACAGAACTAGAACGAACTAGAACAGAACTAGAACAGAACTAGAACAGAACTAGAACAGAACTAGAACAGAACTAGAACAGAACTAGAACAGAACTAGAACAGAACTAGAACAGAACTAGAACAGAACTAGAACAGAACTAGAACAGAACTAGAACAGAACTAGAACAGAACTAGAACAGAACTAGAACAGAACTAGAACAGAACTAGAACAGAACTAGAACAGAACTAGAACAGAACTCGAACAGAACTAGAACAGAACTAGAACAGAACTAGAACAGAACTAGAGCAGAACTAGAACAGAACTAGAACAGAACTAGAACAGAACTAGAACAGAACTAGAATAGAACTAGAACAGAACTAGAACAGAACTAGAACAGAACTAGAACAGAACTAGAACAGAACTAGAACAGAACTAGAAAAGAACTAGAACAGAACTCGAACAGAACTAGAACAGAACTAGAACAGAACTCGAACAGAACTAGAACAGAACTAGAACAGAACTAGAACAGAACTAGAACAGAACTAGAACAGAACTAGAACAGAACTAGAACAGAACTAGAACAGAACTAGAACATAACTAGAACAGAACTAGAACAGAACTAGAACAGAACTAGAACAGAACTAGAACAGAACTAGAACAGAACTAGAACAGAACTAGAACAGAACTAGAACAGAACTAGAACAGAACTAGAACAGAACTAGAACAGAACTAGAACAGAACTAGAACAGAACTAGAACAGAACTAGAACAGAACTAGAACAGAACTAGAACAGAACTAGAACAGAACTAGAGAACTAGAACAGAACTAGAACAGAACTAGAACAGAACTAGAACAGAACTAGAACAGAACTAGAACAGAACTAGAACAGAACTAGAACAGAACGAACTAGAATAGAACTAGAACAGAACTAGAACAGAACTAGAACAGAACTAGAACAGAACTAGAAGAGATCCAGAACAGAACTAGAACAGAACTAGAACAGAACTAGAACAGAACTAGAACAGAACTAGAACAGAACTAGAACAGAACTAGAACAGAACTAGAACAGAACTAGAACAGAACTAGAACTAGAACGAACTAGAACAGAACTAGAACAGAACTAGAACAGAACTAGAACAGAACTAGAACCGAACTAGAACAGAACATAGAACAGAACTAGAACAGAACTAGACAGAACTAGAACAGAACTAGAACAGAACTAGAACGAACTAACAGAACTAGAACAGAACTAGAACAGAACTAGAACAGAACTAGAACCAGAACTAGAACAGAACTAGAACAGAAACTAGAACAGAACTAGAACAGAACTAGAACAGAACTAGAACAGAACTAGAACAGAACTAGAACAGAACTAGAACAGAACTAGAACAGAACTAGAACAGAACTAGAACAGAACTAGAACAGAACTAGAACAGAACTAGAACAGAACTAGAACAGAACTAGAAACAGAACTAGAACAGAACTAGAACAGAACTAGAACAGAACTAGAACAGAACTAGAACAGAACTAGAACAGAACTAGAACAGAACTAGAACAGAACTAGAACAGAACTAGAACAGAACTAGAACAGAACTAGAACAGAACTAGAACAGAACTAGAACAGAACTAGAACAGAACTAGAACAGAACTAGAACAGAACTAGAACAGAACTAGAACAGACAGAACAGAACTAGAACAGAACTAGAACAGAACTAGAACAGAACTAGAACAGAACTAGAACAGAACTAGAACAGAACTAGAACAGAACTAGAACAGAACTAGAACAGAACTAGAACAGAACTAGAACAGAACTAGAACAGAACTAGAACAGAACTAGAACAGAACTAGAACAGAACTAGAACAGAACTAGAACAGAACTAGAACAGAACTAGAACAGAACTAGAACAAGAACTAGAACAGAACTAGAACAGAACTAGAAAACAGAACTAGAAAAGAACTAGAACAGAACTCGAACAGAACTAGAACAGAACTAGAACAGAACTCGAACTAGAACAGAACTAGAACAGAACTAGAACAGAACTAGAACAGAACTAGAACAGAACTAGAACAGAACTAGAACATACTAGAACAGAACTAGAAACAGAACTAGAACAGAACTAGAACAGAACTAGAACAGAACTAGAACAGAACTAGAACAGAACTAGAACAGAACTAGAACAGAACTAGAACAGAACTAGAACAGAACTAGAACAGAACTAGAACAGAACTAGAAGAGATCCAGAACAGAACTAGAACAGAATAGAGCTACATACTTTCACAGACATCATTATATTTTCGTTCCTATTATTTCATATCACTCTGTCAACTGGCAACAAGACAAACTTTTATTTAAAACCCACAGAAAATCCTTTATGTGCGTTTATATGAATATGTGCATTTGAATAGAATCAGTTAAAATGTAGTGTGTACTCCTGTTTTAAATTTTTTCTATTTCTCTTGCAGCATTCCCCGCATTTCTATTGCTTTGTTATTTAGCCAGAGTTGCTATTTATACTGGTTGTCGGTCTATCTATAAAACAGTATATCTGTCCGTCTGCCCATCTGTTAGATGCCTGGCTTGTTTGTAGCTGCTGTTTTCATTCTTGATTAATTACTCAATGGTTGCAATTTGAATATAACGGCTGCTTTTTTTGTATCCTTCATTGGCACCAGCAATAGTAGCAAGTAGCATCAGCAGGGTAATTGCTGCTGTGTATAGTTATAAATATGACAAAATACGAAAGATAGTTGCAATAGCAAAAATTTGTTTAATAAGTGTGTGTGTGTGTGAGTTGTTTTTTATGGAAAAATTTCTTTACACAATATTTCACTTGATAAAGTATTCATTTAAATATGAAATTAAGGCTCAGTGAAGTTAAATAGCAATAGATAAATAAATGCATAAATAATTACAATTAAGTGTTTTTAATAAGGACTGTGTTGTTAATTAAGAAAATAATATATGTTTATGTATGTATGTGTTAATGATTGGTTAGTTATCCTGGTACCTGTAAAAAGTCAATTAGAGTTTAAAGTTCACTCTCTCATGATCTAATGTAGTATAAAATTCAACCGGTAGCCGTTAGATATCTCAATAGCTTATTAAGTCTAGAATAGTATAGTCAGATAGCCAAGACTGAGGGCACAACGTTTAAATCGAATAAAAAAAACAACAAATATTTAAATTTTTAATGCAAAAATTTTATCAACACAAATATCAAAGAATCAACAGAAAAGATGAAAAGAAAAATAAACTTAATAATAAAATATAAAATAAAATTCAAATGCCAGCGTAACAATATCAATCATATTTTCCATGTGCGTGCTTAATAGTCAATAATCGTAATCCATAGTAGTGTTCAGTGTCTGATAAATCCCCAAATATTCGACACTACTACTACATCGCTGCCCTTGATGTTAAGGAAATATCTCAAATTTAACCATAGTAGGCATAAGGAGAAGCGTAGTAACCACCGCTGTAGGCATAAGGAGTATAGAATTGGGGAGCTGGTTCAGGGCTAGCTACTGGACGGGGAGCTGGAGCAGGCAAGGGAGATGGAGAGGCCATGCTGACAGCGAACAAGGCAGCAATGAGGACAAAGACCTAGAAAGGAATTAAACAAATATTAAAAATAGTTTTTGAAAATATTCCTATAATTTTAAAAACTTACGAATTTGAACATTTTGATTAGAGTTGTTTAAGCTTTTGCGAATGAAATGCTTTTAATGCTTAACTCCACAATTTACCGTCTTATTTATACTGATGAAATGACGTTAAATAGTTGATCTTATTTTAAACTATTTTGGGTTTATTTATTTGTTTTAAATATATTCTCTTTAAGTGCAGAATTTAGAATTTTATTTATTATTTCTTGTATATAGTTTTATTATGAAGTTGTGCTTAGAATAATTAATATTTGAATTTGTTTGTTCTTTAACATATATGGTTTCTGTAGAAGTTTTATTTCAAAACTTATACGTTTTCCACAACTAACTTAAATATATCTCAATTACAATTTCAAATATAACAACTCTTAAGCTGACATCATTCAAACAGAATATGTAGACATCATCAATGATTTACATATTTGCATTAAAATGTTTACTTCATACTATTATTTACTACAGCCTGTATTGTAAAAATGCATCGATTTATTGACAAACTAAACCAGAAATGACAAAATCATAGACCATCTGTCTGTGTAACGTAATTTAAAAGTTTTATTTAAATGAAATTTTTGTATGAATTAAATATCAAATAAAATTACTTATTTACGCATGTCCAGTTGCTGCATTCTGTTACAGTGACCATTTATTTATATTTTGTATTTTATTTATTCTATAAATATTTACTTTAATATACGAGTTTGTAGGTAGGAAATTTTATTTAATATGCATTTTTATATTACTTAATTTATTTATGTACATATATACATACATATTGCTTTATGTTTAGTTATACCCTGCAATCATCGGTTACATCATATTACTATAATTACCCAGCAAAAACTTGACAACAGCATTCATTTGTTACCACTTACTTATTAACACACATTTATAGTCTAGTCTATAGTCTAGTCTATAGTCTAGTCTATAGTCTAGTCTATAGTCTAGTCTATAGCCTAGTCTATAGTCTAGTCTATAGTCTAGTCTATAGTCTAGTCTATAGTCTAGTCTATAGTCTAGTCTATAGTCTAGTCTATAGTCTAGTCTATAGTCTAGTCTATAGTCTAGTCTATAGTCTAGTCTATAGTCTAGTCTATAGTCTAGTCTATAGTCTAGTCTATAGTCTAGTCTATAGTCTAGTCTATAGTCTAGTCTATAGTCTAGTCTATAGTCTAGTCTATAGTCTAGTCTATAGTCTAGTCTATAGTCTAGTCTATAGTCCAGTCTATAGTCCAGTCTATAGTCTAGTCTATAGTCTAGTCTATAGTCTAGTCTATAGTCTAGTCTATAGTCTAGTCTATAGTCTAGTCTATAGTCTGTTCTATAGTATTAATTATCACACCTTAATTCTCATGAAACTGCAAGAAAATCTAATACATTTTCCTCTCTTCTTTCACATAATTGCTATAAATATAGTTTCTGTTTATTATTTCTAATAGTTCCTAAAAAATATATTTGTTTAATATTTATTTTATTTAAAAACATTGTTATCTCTATTTTAAACTTTCTGTAGCGCCCACAATTGTTCAAAGCCAATGAACACACAAAAGCCAACAATATCAAATGAAAACGCCTCAAGGAATGCATGCAACGCAATAGCACTCTGTATCATTTGAACAAGGTGACAACCTCTGGGGGAATTCATAAATGAGGACACAATGATGAAGGTCACACACATTGCAATGTGATCTAATGTTAAGATGTACTACTTTTTAACATGAATCCCCAGAGAGTTGTGTGTTAATTATAGAAATTTATTTTTGTTTGGCATAAAATATTTATTTTGTACCTGTAAATATTTAGTTGTACATATTAATAAAATGGTTACATTAGATTGTGGTTATATGGAAAATTATATTGTTCAGTTCTAGTTCAGTTCTAGTTCAGTTCTAGTTCAGTTCTAGTTCAGTTCAGTTCTAGTTCAGTTCTAGTTCAGTTCTAGTTCAGTTCTAGTTCAGTTCTAGTTCAGTTCTAGTTCAGTTCTAGTTCAGTTCTAGTTCAGTTCTAGTTCAGTTCTAGTTCAGTTCTAGTTCAGTTCTAGTTCAGTTCTAGTTCAGTTCTGGTTCAGTTCTAGTTCAGTTCTAGTTCAGTTCTAGTTCAGTTCTAGTTCAGTTCTAGTTCAGTTCTAGTTCAGTTCTAATTCAGTTCTAGTTCGGTTCTAGTTCAGTTCTAGTTCAGTTCTAGTTCAGTTCTAGTTCAGTTCTAGTTCAGTTCTAGTTCAGTTCTAGTTCAGTTCTAGTTCAGTTCTAGTTCAGTTCTAGTTCAGTTCTAGTTCAGTTCTAGTTCAGTTCTAGTTCAGTTCTAGTTCAGTTCTAGTTCAGTTCTAGTTCAGTTCTAATTCAGTTCTACTTCAGTTCTAGTTCAGTTCTAGTTCAGTTCTAGTTCAGTTCTAGTTCAGTTCTAGTTCAGTTCTAGTTCAGTTCTAGTTCAGTTCTAGTTCAGTTCTAGTTCAGTTCTAGTTCAGTTCTAGTTCAGTTCTAGTTCAGTTCTAGTTCAGTTCTAGTTCAGTTCTAGTTCAGTTCTAGTTCAGTTCTAGTTCAGTTCTAGTTCAGTTCTAGTTCAGTTCTAGTTCAGTTCTAGTTCAGTTCTAGTTCAGTTCTAGTTCAGTTCTAGTTCAGTTCTAGTTCAGTTCTAGTTCAGTTCTAGTTCAGTTCTAGTTCAGTTCTAGTTCAGTTCTAGTTCAGTTCTAGTTCAGTTCTAGTTCAGTTCTAGTTCAGTTCTAGTTCAGTTCTAGTTCAGTTCTAGTTCAGTTCTAGTTCAGTTCTAGTTCAGTTCTAGTTCAGTTCTAGTACAGTTCTAGTTCAGTTCAGTTCAGTTCTAGTTCAGTTCTAGTTCAGTTCTAGTTCAGTTCTAGTTCAGTTCTAGTTCAGTTCTAGTTCAGTTCTAGTTCAGTTCTAGTTCAGTTCTAGTTCAGTTCTAGTTCAGTTCTAGTTCAGTTCTAGTTCAGTTCTAGTTCAGTTCTAGTTCAGTTCTAGTTCAGTTCTAGTTCAGTTCTAGTTCAGTTCTAGTTCAGTTCTAGTTCAGTTCTAGTTCAGTTCTAGTTCAGTTCTAGTTCAGTTCTAGTTCAGTTCTAGTTCAGTTCTAGTTCAGTTCTAGTTCAGTTCTAGTTCAGTTCTAGTTCAGTTCTAGTTCAGTTCTAGTTCAGTTCTAGTTCAGTTCTAGTCAGTTCAGTTCTAGTTCAGTTCTAGTTCAGTTCTAGTTCAGTTCTAGTTCAGTTCTAGTTCAGTTCTAGTTCAGTTCTAGTTCAGTTCTAGTTCAGTTCTAGTTCAGTTCTAGTTCAGTTCTAGTTCAGTTCTAGTTCAGTTCTAGTTCAGTTCTAGTTCAGTTCTAGTTCAGTTCTAGTTCTAGTTCAGTTCTAGTTCAGTTCAGTTGTTCAGTTCTAGTTCAGTTCTAGTTCAGTTCTAGTTCAGTTCTAGTTCAGTTCTAGTTCAGTTCTAGTTCAGTTCTAGTTCAGTTCTAGTTCAGTTCTAGTTCAGTTCTAGTTCAGTTCTAGTTCAGTTCTAGTTCAGTTCTAGTTCAGTTCTAGTTCAGTTCTAGTTCAGTTCTAGTTCAGTCTAGTTCAGTTCTAGTTCAGTTCTAGTTCAGTTCTAGTTCAGTTCTAGTTCAGTTCTAGTTCAGTTCTAGTTCAGTTCTAGTTCAGTTCTAGTTCAGTTCTAGTTCAGTTCTAGTTCAGTTCTAGTTCAGTTCTAGTTCAGTTCTAGTTCAGTTCTAGTTCAGTTCTAGTTCAGTTCTAGTTCAGTTCTAGTTCAGTTCTAGTTCAGTTCTAGTTCAGTTCTAGTTCAGTTCTAGTTCAGTTCTAGTTCAGTTCTAGTTCAGTTCTAGTTCAGTTCTAGTTCAGTTCTCTAGTTCAGTTCTAGTTCAGTTTCTAGTTCAGGAATCTATATAAGACATGGGATCTCTGCCTGGGGAAGCGCCAAATATAGTAAAACACTGCAAAAAACCCAAGATCAAATCCTCAAAATACTCTGGAAAATCATAATAACTCAAGAAATACCAGCACATGCACAATCAACAACATAAGACACAACACAAACGCATCAGAATCAACTTCAACTGATTCATCCTCAAATCTCATGGACAACATTAATAACTCTATGATTAACAACGCAGCTTATAACGAAATAACTACACACCAAACACAACATAATCCTACTAATGCAAGCGAAATCTGTAACACAGGTCAACTAAATAACATAAACGTTATCCAACCTCAGCACAATATCAACATCAACACTAGAATCACCAACAACACGAACATAAACAGCATCAGAAGTTTTCCAAAAGAATTGAATATACTCAATGTAAACAGCATATACTCTACAAGCCTAGCTAGCGACTTTTTCGATGACAGTAGATTCCTACATCCTATTGACCACGGATACAACACCAGGCGTAGCAGTCAAAAAAGATTTAAAGTAGAACGTTTTTATAATGAGTATGGGAAAAGCACATTACCTGTTATGTTACCAACTATTATTAATAAGCTTCCTATAACTATACTAAACACTACAAATGTTATGAAGAGAAAAAAATTAATTAAACAGTTTTTTATAAGTTCGCAATGAACAATTATTTCCCTTATATAAAAAATTAATTTACTATGCATTATAAAATTTATATTAATATTTATAATTATTTATCCTGCTGACAAGCCCAAAGGCTTAGCGGGTTTAGTATTAATCAAAAATGTTTTTGTATAATTTCCTTGATAAATAAATAAATGAAAAAAAAAAAAAAAAAAAAAAGTTCTAGTTCAGTTCAAGTTCAGTTCAAGTTCAGTTCAAGTTCAGTTCAAGTTCAGTTCTAGTTCAATTCTAGTTCAGTTCTAGTTCAGTTCTAGTTCAGTTCTAGTTCAGTTCTAGTTTAGTTCTAGTTCAGTTCTAGTTCAGTTCTAGTTCAGTTCAGTTCTAGTTCAGTTCTAGTTCAGTTCTAGTTCAGTTCTAGTTCAGTTATAGTTCAGTTCAGTTCTAGTTCAGTTCTAGTTCAGTTCTAGTTCAGTTCTAGTTCAGTTCTAGTTCAGTTCTAGTTCAGTTCTAGTTCAGTTCTAGTTCAGTTCTAGTTCAGTTCTAGTTCTAGTTCAGTTCTAGTTCAGTTCTAGTTCAGTTCAGTTCTAGTTCAGTTCTAGTTCAGTTCTAGTTCAGTTCTAGTTCAGTTCTAGTTCAGTTCTAGTTCAGTTCTGGTTCAGTTCTAGTTCAGTTCTAGTTCAGTTCTAGTTCAGTTCTAATTCAGTTCTAGTTCGGTTCTAGTTCAGTTCTAGTTCAGTTCTAGTTCAGTTCTAGTTCAGTTCTAGTTCAGTTCTAGTTCAGTTCTAGTTCAGTTCTAGTTCAGTTCTAGTTCAGTTCTAGTTCAGTTCTAGTTCAGTTCTAGTTCAGTTCTAGTTCAGTTCTAGTTCAGTTCTAGTTCAGTTCTAGTTCAGTTCTAGTTCAGTTCTAGTTCAGTTCTAGTTCAGTTCTAGTTCAGTTCTAGTTCAGTTCTAGTTCAGTTCTAGTTCAGTTCTAGTTCAGTTCTAGTTCAGTTCTAGTTCAGTTCTAGTTCAGTTCTAGTTCAGTTCTAGTTCAGTTCTAGTTCAGTTCTAGTTCAGTTCTAGTTCAGTTCTAGTTCAGTTCTAGTTCAGTTCAGTTCTAGTTCAGTTCTAGTTCAGTTCTAGTTCAGTTCTAGTTCAGTTCTAGTTCAGTTCTAGTTCAGTTCTAGTTCAGTTCTGGTTCAGTTCTAGTTCAGTTCTAGTTCAGTTCTAGTTCAGTTCTAGTTCAGTTCTAATTCAGTTCTAGTTCGGTTCTAGTTCAGTTCTAGTTCAGTTCTAGTTCAGTTCTAGTTCAGTTCTAGTTCAGTTCTAGTTCAGTTCTAATTCAGTTCTAGTTCAGTTCTAGTTCAGTTCTAGTTCAGTTCTAGTTCAGTTCTAGTTCAGTTCTAGTTCAGTTCTAGTTCAGTTCTAGTTCTGTTCTTGACAAAACCATTTCAAAATAATACTACTTTGTAAACCCACTTTAGCAGAACTATTAACAAAAAATCTGTTAAGAAACCTTTTCTATCAACATAAATAAAAATAAAAGTATTTTATGCCAAAAAAATTATTGCGCAATTGCATGATTTACAATTAAAAATTCAAAGCACATATTCAACACATGCTCCCAAAATAGATTGAAGAAGAAATCGAATGTATAAAATTATAATGAGTTTAAATTTGGTTAATTCTGTTATGTTTGAAATAATATAATTAAAACAAACAAATAAACCCAAAATAGTTAAAAATGAGATTAACTATTTGACAAAGTTGTCAACAGTATAAAAACATCGGCAAATTGTTGAGTAAAGTATCAAAAGCATTTCATTCGCAAAAGCTTAAACAACTCAACAAAACAAAATGTTCAAATTCGTAAGTGTTTTTAATATTAAAGTATTTAATAAACTATTTAATATAAAATTTCACTTTAATCACTTATAGGTCTTTGTCCTTATTGCTGCCTTGTTCGCTGTCAGCATGGCCTCTCCTTCTCCCTTGCCAGCTCCAGCTCCCCGTCCAGTGGCTAGTCCTGAACCTGCTCCCCAATTCTATACTCCTTATGCCTACAGCGGTGGTTACTATGCTTCTCCTTATGCCTACTATGGTTAAAATTGTGATGCCTTTATTGCATCTACAACAGCGAAGTAGTAGTGTCAAATATGTTGGGGATTAGTCACAGAATAGTTTCTTTTGCGCACACTACTATGGATTACGGTTATTGACTATTAATTACGTTCACGGAGAATATGTTTAATATGCACGCTGGCATATGGATTTTTGTTTATTTTTCTTTCTATCTTCTCTGTTGATTCTTTAATTTTTGTTTTAATAAAATTTTGCATAAAAAATTTAAATGTGTATTTTTTAATATTTAAATTTACAATTCTTAAATATGATCTGAAGAACGTTTAGACCCAAATCATTGTCAAAATCTTTAACATCAACCTTTCCGTCAGGGTCCATTTTATTTCTTTTATGGGAATTATTCTTCGCTACATAGTGAAGGCGAAAGTTTGATTATTACTCTCGATATCCACATGTTGTTCTCACACCCATGAGGGAGCCTAGATATAGTTTACTAACCAATATTTTATTAAAATTATCAGTTCCAACTATTGTGTTAATGGCGCAGCATTGAGTGGCTTGTAAAATTCGCTCTTCATGCCATGTACTTAGGGTTCCGTTAGAGCGTAATATTGTAAAATGTTCCGATATTGGTTTGTATAGTATGGTGCTGCTTTAGCCCATGGCCAGACCCATTTCTGGCGTATGGGACTGGCTTCAGAGCCACTTTGAAGCATGCGAACTTAGCTAAGACCAAGAATATCGATACTATATAGAAACTATTATCTCTTGATGGCTCAGAAAGAGTTCACACATTCCATATTCCTATCATAAAGCGTTTTTTAAAGCCAAAGTTTCTGATGATGTTTAAGATGTGTTGGAAAGTACCCCAGATCATCCGATCCTTGTGTTCGGGCTGCCAACAAAACTTCCAGGGTGGTCAAAATAAGCAACAGAGTTTCCTAATTCCTGGGACATCCTTACAAGAGATAACTCACGTAAGCTACTGATAAACGGGCTTTAATACAGCATTACCAGGGGAACATTTGGTCTAAAACCGGAAGTGCGGTTAGGTTTGAGACATTCATCAAATCACTTTCGTTTCGTTCAATTCTATATAGTTGTACCTGTAAACCTGTGTGTCTGCTCAGAATACTCACCTCCGACTAATGCATTCTGTGAAGGCTTCTCGCTCTCCTCTTGTCTAATTCCTTGCCAACGTTTTATTATTCCAAGTTCTCTCGCCCATATTTTTAATTCAGCTTTCTTTGCGTACTTAGATAGAAATTCTGATTAGGTATTATATCTCGGTTTTCAATGTAGAGCCTTCCGTGTAACAACAGATTCAATCAGGGGTTTCTTTCAAAGTTACGCTTGACTACGATCTCCTTTCTGAAATCAATGTGTCACGTTTCCCGATAATTTCTGTTTCCGGTTGGGTACATCTGATAATTGTAAATAACCATCAGCTAGGACCCTTATACATTGATAACGTATCCCATAACCGGCTTTAGTCAATTCGCCTAAAGAAATTCTCGGTTGTTATTGCCATCGTATCTTGTATATATTTTAATGAGAAGGAAATCCAGTCTTATTTCCAGAACTTTGGTTCATTACTGAACCAAACAGAGTAGAGTATACCCAAGAAATATATACAATGAACTCCCTGAAGTGATACCAGATTGCCAAAAGTTTGAATAAATCTAATTATGCTATTAAAAAGTGTGTCGTAGTTGGATTAAGCCGGGTTTGGGTATAGATAGAAATTTTTGTATTACCTTAAATTGTCATTTAATCCACTTCACGGAGCCCAATATTTAGGACCTATTTAGGACCTAGAATAAATAATATTTATTTAGGCCCTAGAATAAATAATATGGATCATTGCTGATATTAATCGTGGTTACCCAGACTAATGCCAATAAAATTCCAACCTCTGGCTTAACGCGAAAACCCTTTTCCTATTAATTACATATATATATATCGCGCATCTCGCAGCTTATAAGTATATGATTGATCCAGTCACTGAGCACGTAGCCAACTTGAAATTGGTTTAAGGAATGGATAAGAGTGTCAGTTTGTAACACCTTCGATATCAATGCAGATTGCAAGTGTATACAGTCTACTGTCGTAGGAACTCTATATACATATGTATAGTATGCGGTATCATCTGAACTAAGAACGTACATTTTAACCATGATATCGAATATGCAAGGTTAAAAGTAGAAAAGGATTCAGACTTATTAGTAGATATGACCTTGGCATTCTAGGTTTGGAAATTAAAGATTTAAGAATTTAAGTTTTTCCTGCAAAAGGTAGATTTTTGTCTCGAACTACTCACTCTCACTAACTAGATAAATAACGTGTAATAGAGACAACTTTGTAAATTCAGAATAGTATAAATATGTACATACAATAATATGTTTGAAAACATACATTCATCCATATGTAGGCAAAAAACATATTATGTAATATAAACCACAAAAAATACAGAGGAATCAGACTACTCACTGACAGAGCAAGACATATGTATACCCAACTCAACAGAAGTCTTGCACTTGTGCCTAACATGTTGTGTGTGTGTGTGTGTCAACACATGGAATTACACTTTTTTTTCTTTTACTACTTTATTTTTCCATTTATATTTCTTCTATTTTTTGGTAAAAGGAACTAGGACAGATAAAAGAAACAGCAGAAAAACAAATATCACGATGAGAATGCAAAGAAACAACTACTAACAACATTATTGCAACAGTTGTGCAGCCAAAATTAGGAAACTAAGAACAAAGCCAATAATAGACTAACTGAATGCCTGTATGCCTTACCGGGTGACTATAAGAAAATCGGCATTCAACATAGTTGTTTGGTCGCCATCATCGTCATCAACAACATCTCGACAATACAGCAGAATTTAGAAACAAAATGAAAGAACACATAAAATTGTGTTGCCTGCACCACAATTGAGTTGATTTGCATATAATTTTAAAGATTTAACAAGTTAGAGTGCTAAATTCGGCTGAGCCGAATCTTAAATACCCTCCACCAGCTACTTTTATATTAAGACTTTTCTAATTGGTCAAATATTTGTAGAAATAAGTTATCTCATGTCTTAAATTGAAAAATCCCAAGATTTAAACAGCTTAAATCTATTACAATTCCAAGATTTATTGAACATTACAAACGCAATTTTCTTTATATTTTTATAGCGCTTAGCGATATTTAGTAATTTGCATGTATGCATGTGTGTGAAAATTAAAGGATTTTCAAAATACATATATATAATCTACACAAATTGATAATGCAACTAGTTAAATACGGTTAAAGTGCTTTCAGGGGCAGGACCTAGATATGACCAATTATAGTCCGATCGTAAAAAATTCTTTAAGCTAAATTTCTGTACATAAAAGCTATATTTCAGTAAAATTTTATATCTATATCGTAATTTAGTAATAAGTAATGTGTGTTTAAGTGATTTTCGGAAGGGAACCTTGTATGGGACCGACCGCACCCATGTTATGAGCCGATCGTGAGAAATCTTGAAATAGATTTTTTGTATACAAAACTAATATTTGTGGCAAATTTTGTATCAATAGCTTTATTTGGTAATGAGTAATGTGCGTTTAAGAGATTTTCGTAAAAGGACCTTGTATGAGAGCTATGACGAATTATATATAAAAACAAAATTTCAAAATTCTGTATCTATATCATTATTTGGTAATGAATATTGTGCATTTAAGTGATTTTCTGGAGGGGCCTAGTATGAGAGCTATGACCAAATATGGACCGATCGTAAAACAATTTTATAGTGTAATTTATGTATATAAGAGCAATAATTTTGCTAAATGTATGATATCAATATTTGGTAATGAATTATGTGCGTTTAAGTGATTTTCGGGAGAGAACCTTATATGGGAGCTATGACCAAGGTTGGACTAATCGTGAAAAAATTTTGAAATAACATTTATGTGTACAAAAATAGTATTAATGCCAAATATTTTATGGGTATCACTATTTCCTAATGAGTTATGTGCCTTTAAGTGTTTTCTGAAAGGCACCTTGTATAGCAGCTATGATCAATTATGGACCGATAGGAAAACAATTTCACAGTAATATTTCTCTGTATATGAGCAATACTTCTGCCAAACTTTATAGTTAGTAATGAGTTATGAGCGTTTAAGTGATTTTCGGGAGGGGACCTTGTATGGGAGCTATGACCAATTATGGACCGATCGGAAAAAAATTTCACAGTAATATTTCCGCGCATATGTGCAATACTTGTACCAAATTTTATATGGATATCTTAATTAAGTAATGATTTATGCGCGTTTAAGTGATTTTCGGGAGGGGACCTTGTATGGGAGCTATGACCAATTATGGACGGATCGGAAAAAACTTTCACAGTAATATTTCTATGCATATGGGCAATACTTATACCAAATTTTGTATGGATATCTTAATTTAGTAATGAGTTATGCGCGTTTAAGTGATTTTCGGGAGGGGACCTTGTATGGGAGCTATGACCAATTTTGAACCGATCCAAAAAAAAATTTACAGTAATATTTCTATGTATGTGGGCAATTTTCATACCAAATTTTATATGGATATCTTAATTAAGTAATGATTTATGCGCGTTTAAGTGATTTTCGGGATGGGACCTTGTATGGGAGCTATGACCAATTTTGGACCGATCGGAAAAAACTTTCACAGTAATATTTCTATGCATATGGGCAATACTTATACCAAATTTTATATGGATATCTTAATTTAGTAATGAGTTATGCGCGTTTATGTGATTTTCGGGAGGGGACCTTGTATGGGAGCTATGACCAATTATGGACCGATCGGAAAAAACTTTCACAGTAATATTTCTATGCATATGGGCAATACTTATACCAAATTTTGTATGGATATCTTAATTTAGTAATGAGTTATGCGCGTTTAAGTGATTTTCGGGAGGGGACCTTGTATGGGAGCTATGTCCAATTATGGACCGATCCATAAAATTTGTCCTCTGAAAGAATTCTATTGACATAAGATTTTAATTTGTAAAATTTTGTGAAGATATCGACATTGTGATGGAAGTTATTAACGAAAAACCCATTTTCCGGGAATATGTACTTTTGTATGGGAGGTATATGAAATTGTGGATCGATTCTGGCAATTTTCTGCACGGATCAAGATCTTGTATAGAAACGAATGTATGGTGATTTTCATGGAATTATCTTGCATAGTTTTGGAGAAAATTACATTAGAATGTGAAAAAAATACTTATTTTTTTCGAGGTTGT